GCATCCAGACCCGCCACTGCATGGGACCTGCCCACGCAGCCACTTAAACTGGTTCCGTTGGACTTAGGTGGAGCGGGGCCCTCCCAGCCGTCACACGGGCTGCATCGGGGACCCCAGCCGCCGTACAGAAGTCCGTGGACGGCGCCCCGGCTGCTGCAGGAGTTGAGGCCTGGCTTTGAGGCTTTGTGGGCATTTGCTAATCTCCGCACACAGGGAAACAGGGCAAAGAAAGGCTGGGCCTCAGGCCCTCCAGCTGGGCGGGCGTTAAATTCTGGACCCTATTAACCCTGAAAACCCTTGTTGCTGAGTGATCTCTGTTGACAGGAAGCACTTCTGCGCTTTCCTGAGGAAGCTCTGGTCTTAGGCCGGTACTGACACCTGGGAGGACCAGGCAGCAGCACGCCTGAGGCTAGAAAGGCTGGCGACACGCCACCGGTCAGTGCAGGCCGCGGGGCACTTCCTGTTGCCCCAGGCTTGGGGATAGCACGGTCGCGCTGACATTTGCTGGGTGCTCCCAGAGGTCAGGAGTTTGTTCAAGGCCTGGAGCTTTTACCCGGCTTTGTCAAAGACCCTTCGTGCTGGAAAATGCCTGCTTCAGGTGTCGTCTCTGATCAGACCCCGCCGTGAGGTCTCGGCGCTGCACAGGGGCTGCCCACAGCAGGGCCGAAGCTGCACGGGAATCATTTTCATGACATGGGACGTGCCCAAGGCCACACCAGGCTAGAACAGCTGGCATCCCCAGACCGCGTCGACAAGGCGACCAAGCCTGGATGAGAGGGGCGAAGGAGGGACTGGGGTGGAGGGGCTCTGGGCCTCAGTGCTCCCGGGATCGCAGGGACAGCCTCGGCCATGCAGCGTGCAGGGAAGGGGCAGCCCCGCCTAGTTGGCCCCGAGAGCCGGGCGAGCATCGGCAAGCATGCACACGGAGCCCGCCGCAGCTGCGTGCATGCACTTATCAGGCCTATGTGGTTGCACGTTGCTGTGACCAGAGCGGGACAGTGGCGGCCAGCAGCTCCATCTGCTCAGGACTGGCCATGGGCCCAGGAGCCAGCATGCCCCAAACCTAACTCCGTGCAGCCGGGCCACACACGAGACCCAGCCCTGCAGTCCGGTGACCCAAGCTCAGTAGGGTCCCCAGCACAGCACCACGTAACACCGAGCTGAGAGGCAGCTCTGCAGGGCGGTCGGAGCGACCCATGCGTCCCTGCGTCCCCGACGTGGCCCCATGCGAGGACAGCGCTTTCCTTGACTTAACGTCAGAGGCCGCTGGGGAGCCCAGGAGGCCGCCCAGGGCTGAGCACCTGCAAGAGGACCTCAACTTGGGAGGAGGCAGCCCTGGGAGCCACGCTTTGCACACACGGATCCCGGAGGCCCTGCTCTGGTCAGAAGCAGAGGGCCTGAAGCGCTGTGTCCATGGGTCCAGCCTACAAGCCCCCAGCCCTGGCTGTTGTGGCCTGGGCTGTGGTCGCTGGAGGGCATGGTGGCTCCTGCCCTGCTGTGGCGGATAGCGCAGCTGAGACGCACATGCTGCTCCACTCCCCGAGATGTACCTGTAAAGGAGAGGCTTCTGAAAGCTCCCCGGGCTCTCCAGGGCCGTCATCAGGAGCCCCTGGGGCGGCAGGGACGCCACGGCAGTGACAGCCGGTCAGGAGGGAGCGCTGCTCCGCCCCTGCTCTTGACGGCGGGGGCGGCGGGGGTTCCTCTTAACGGGACGGCGCTGTCATCTTTGAAGGCTCCATCTGCGCTGTATTTAATCGCTCCGCAGAGGGGCTGAAACCGCGGCTGCGAAGTTGGAGCTGACGCACCCCGGGGCATCTCAGCACAGTGGCCTGGCCTCCGCAGTGACTCGCACAGGGAAGCCTGACCACCGCTCTGCCCGACGCTGACCCCGACCCAGCCGGGCCCAGCAAGGGGCAGGCAGGGCCACCT